TGTATAGAAAGTACTGTAATCACTAGATCCTCCACAGTAAATATATGTCCAGGTTCTTACACCATTTCACTTTTCTTGGCAGATCATGTTATCACATTGTGGGACATTTAATAACAAAAGTGATGAAAACATGAACAAAAAGAAACTAAATGAAATCAGCTATTCTATATAACCAAAACATTTTTTTTAACAAATAAAAAGAAAAGAAAATTTGAAATTCTCAGTGTTCCCCACTCCTTTGTGTGCAGGTGTAGTTGCATCAACATAAACATCGCTATAATCCAATGAAGACCTAAATGACAAAACATGTCACACAAAAACTTTTTCCATTTTGTCAGTTTTTTCCCAAAAAAGAATACATATATGTGTGTGTGTGTGTGTGTGTGTGTGTGTGTGTAAATGTACCACATTGAAAGCTGGTGGTAATAAAATAGTGCTCGATATGTAATAACAGAGCTATAATTTATATTGATAATAAATATACATTATTTTTTTTTCCTTGCCTCATCAGTAGCAAAACTCACATAATGCAATCACCATGCTGATTGAAAACTAACCAGTTTTCAATCAGCAATTACATTGTGCATGAAACTTAGAGTGAGAAAAAATGTGTGTGTGCATATATATATATATCTACAGAAATCTTAGATCTTACTTGAAAATTATACTTCCTCATTGTGGTGGTTCCAGTAACTTTAGAGGAAAATGATTTCATAAAATCAAAAATATGTACACACTAAGCAAATTAGCTAAACAAAAAATCTAAAAAAACAAAAAAAATGTGAGGCATATTCGATAAAAATCTTAAATATGACAATATTTAATGTTTTGATAATTTTATGTATACACAGATATTTTGCTTGTATAAACATATCTGAATTTATGTAAGAAAAAAATATTAAAAATATGTTTTACATGATGAAAAAAAATGTTATCGATAAAAATTCTGAATATATTTTGGTGTCTCAAATTTAACATTGCAAATGATGTATTTTGAAAATTATCAAATCAATTACATTTAAAACAAAATCTACTTTGAAATAACAAAATAAGTAAATTCATAGTATTTTATGTCTTATATTATTTAATATCATATCAGAACATGTGCAATAATAAATACTGACTGACTTAAGATTATTTTTATTCTTATTTTTTTGTTTTGTTTCAAACAGCAAGAACTTATAATGAATGTTATAGATCTCCTGTGGAAGTATATGGCCACAGCCTCACTAAACCATATGTGGCTGCTTTGGCTTTTTTAGCAAGTAGCATTAGAGAAAATGGAAACAAAATAGACGCTTATACTTAACATCAGGAAGAGAGTTGAAATTTCTAAGGTACATAATTAGGATAGTGGGCTTGTAAAATTTAATACAGGACAGATTAAAGGCAAGAGAGACAGAGGAATGCAACACATAACCTGCCTTGATTAAATGGATGGCAGAGCAAGGTTTAGGAAAGATAACAAAGTGGCAAAATTTATTAAGAACTACAAAGGACAAGAAATTGTGGAGAGCCATGATCGTCAACATCGTGAATGAACATTGCACATAACAAAAGAATAAGGTTTTTAAAAGGGTGAAGTTGCTAGCCCAATGCCCAAATGATTTTAGATTCAGTATTGTCCTTTTCATACTGGTTTCCAGCCAAAACTAGAGAGCCCAGTTGGCCCATCTATCTGGCAAGTCAGGGGATGGAGGAATGAAGAAGAGATGCATTTATATCTTTTCAAGGGTATTTGTGCAAACATAAACACAACTCATGATGAATACAAAACTTCAAAATGTTCGTAAATACATTGTGTTTATTTATTAAGCTTGCTTTTGTATGGTACAAAGATACTCGTATGAGTCAATAAGAGATTGAACTTATACTCTGAATTGGTTTGCTAACCAATCATACTACAGTAGGCACCCTATTTACTAAGCTTAGCTTAGTCTGGCACAAGGTCATAGTAGTAGAGGACCGAGCAAGGTCACTACTTTAGAAATAGTCTAGAATAACCTGATAGAAAATTTGTTAAAACCTAAATTTAAACAAAAAAAGAACAAATTCATGCTTTGATCATATATATATATATATATATATATATTTTTTTTTTTTGTTGTAATAAATTATAATAAAAACATTTTACATCTCTACACAAAAACTTTCAAATTTCAGTACTAAGATTGTACTTCCTCAGGTAATGGTAGATAACTTGTGATAAAAATGATTTATTAGGGAAATTTAAAAACAAACTGTTACCTCCTTTTGAAAGTTAATGTGGGAGTGCATAAGATCAGAATTAAAAATACACTTATGTTGTTTCAGTACTAATATTGAAATGCTACGAGCTGGGGATTTTTACTCCATCTGTTCTTTCTCTCATTTGGAGATATATATATATATATACATACATTTTATATATATATATATATATATATATATATATACATTTTTTATTTATATATATATATATATATATACACACACACACACAAGAGAAAATATTTCTAGTCCTCAAAAGTCCCAAAAATTTATCAAAGTATGTAGAATTCCAAGCTTAGAGAAACTTATTTTTCCCTTATGCTCTCACATATTAACTTTATCAGGCTGAAAATAGAGTACTTCTGATATACATATGCAGGAACTGCTCACTTTTCAGTCTTGTTAGAGTCCACGTCCTTGTGGGTGATGAATTACAACTCCTTATAAAAATAGAAATGAAACATTGCAAGCCTCTTGCTACTCTATCTCTATTTCCATGGAAATTGTTTAAAGGAACTACATTCCTTAGCCCCACCAGTTCTGACCTTCATGGCTAAGACCTGCCATGCTACGTCTCTTGTAGCAAACTACCCTCATTTCCTTTGTATTCCATTGGTGAGATGTAAGCTCCACTCAAACAGCTTCTTCCCACAAACCTCTACTTTGTGGAACTGACACCCAAAAGGATACTTCCCCGATCACTACAATCTTAACCTGTTCAAATCTAGGGTTAACTATTATCATCCTCACATACCCCATAAACTGACTCTTACTGCTTACTCTATAACCCTCTACTTTGAGTGGCTCTTGGGCCTTGCACACGGTGAACATTGTAAAAAAAAATAAAAAATAACAATCCAAGTTTAAAGAATATTTCAATGTTAGAAAATATTTTGTAAAAACTTTATAATCCTTTGATTGATTTTGCTACTTTTAGTAGTGATATAAACAAGTTATATATTTATTGAATCTGAAATCAATAAAAAATATATCAACCAAAAAACGTGCACCTTTTTACTACACAGCATACTGTTAGATGGAATATTAGATAAGAATAACTAAAAAAAAAATATATATATGCCAAACATCAGATGCTGGCATCCTCAGACAGTTTTCAATTTCCAATATTTTTTTAAAAAGAAATATATCACAAACAACACTATTATTCAACCAATATTCACATGATTGAATTAAGAAAAGTGTTTTCAACTGTTATCATATTTTTAACTATGTAATTTTTAAAGATTTTGTTTGATAGAAATGTTGTTTAGTGTTCTGCCCAGTTGATAATTAATTCACAAAATTATGCCTTTGATGACTGTTTTTATGCTAGAATTGTTTAGTCTTTGAAATTAATTATCTGGAATTGAGTTAACTGAATTTTCTTTATCACAAGAAATTCAGATAGAATTAATTTACTTCGATATAACACCTCATTATAAGTTTCTCTGATAGAAGTTCTTATTTAAGACTAATGAATAACTTTCAGTCAGTGTTATAAAAATGTAACTAATAGGAAAATCTAAATTTATTTTGTTTACATAAAAAAACAAAAAGTCTGAATTGTTTTTTTTTTCTTTGAAGTGTACAAATATTTTCTCAACCTGTTAAGAATGTAGATAAATTTAATTGTAAAGATGTGGCAAAGGAACTGATATTTTTACTGAATCTCTGGTCATTATGGTTAAACGTCTAAGTTATAATTTTGAATAATGTTCAGTGCTAAAAGTTAATTTCTGAAATTCATTAAAATTGTTATGCATTTTAAAACCACTCTTTATAAATGTTAGCATTTTAGTCTTGCTAGATCCTGGAGATCCGTCTCCTTGACAATACCTCCCCATTGCACTAAATTAGGTAGTCAGTAGGTACATCTGATAGCACTAAGCAACTTTTACACCTACCCATATGTAAATATGTATGGTCTGTTCTGCTTAAAAACAAAACAACACACACATGGTATTTTATTTTTGTAGAAAAATGAATAATGCAAAATGTGTTTTACTAGACAATTGTTAAGGTAGTGAATTTACTCATGTCTGTGCCAGACTAAACTAAACCAAGTCAATAGCTATGGGAAATGCTTCATGGTGGAGAATTAAATTTTTCTCCATTGGCCCCAGAAGTTAATGTTCAAACCCAGGTAAATGCCAAAGTTTGAAATGTTGATTTTCAAGGTAGGCAAGCCTATTCCACTTGAATCATTGATGCAATACAAATTTATCTTAAATCTCCCTGTCTAGCCATAGCCTGTACTAAGCAAATCTTAAATATTAAGAAACCATTCAAATATCAGTGCAAAGTCAAAAGATTTAATTATAAATGATGGCTTTTCAATGTAGCAAAGAATTCTCAATTATTCAGAATGGAACATACTGAGCTCTTTCATAATTTCTGATTCATCTTCAGCAATCAGTATAAATTCATTTATACCTTTTAGTGTAACACTGTATATTTCCATTCTGTACAATTTCAGCTGCAATCTTCTGATTTAGGGGAAACTAAGAAATCACATGAACAGCAATAAGAAGAATCCAGATTATTTAAGAAATGCAATGAAAAAGATAATATTCATAGTTTACATTCAAATAAATGTTCTGAAGTAATGCTTGCTTATTGTTTAGACAGCATCTGTCAACATTTCAGAAAAAGGAGCAGTGTCTTACTGCTTTCTGTAGGCTTATTTTACCTTGACCACAAAACATGATATACTAAAAACTTACAAACTAAATCTATTTTTTGTTTTGCAGCGTGTTCTGTTTTCTCTGGGTGGCTCTTTTCTGTATTATGCCAACCATTTCAAGGTGTACAGTTCCTTCTGTGCAAGTCATTCAAGGTCGCAAAAGATCCTTAATCCAGGTAAGATCTTTTCTAACATTTCCACCTCTTTTAACATGATACTTTAAACATTTTTAATTTTTCTAATTCCAACAAAGTACACTTCTTAATTTTAGTGCACTGTGGCCAAAAGTTAGCCTGCAAAAGTTTGTCTTGTTACTGATATAATGTTTGAATTTTATAGCTGTGTTATTGTGTTCTGCTATGGCAAAAGCTAAAACCTTTGAAAGAACTTAGTTACTTGCAGTTGAGGGGCCATTGTATACAATCAAAGAAGTAATACTTGTGCATAATGTAGACTGCTAAGGGTTTTAATTTCTGAAATTCAATGAAATTTTTATGCATTTTAAAACCCCAATGTATAAAAGTCAGAATTTTATTCTTGCTAATTATTCAGTTGAGTCATAAGTAATTTGTTTTTTGAAACCAATCATACATGCTCCTCAGTCTTTTGAACAGGAGTAGAGGCTTATCCCTCGTTTCCTGTTTACAATTGTATTTCTGGTTCCTTCTAAAATCTACTTCAACTCTATACTTTTCTCTCTGCCTAAACTTTGAAATTTTATTTAGTATTTCTTTATTATTTTTTCCTCAATAAGAGTAGATAGATTCACCTATTGTTTGGTTTACACTCCTCCCTGGTCTTTTGAACAAGAGTAGAGATTTATCACTCGTTTCCTGTTTACAATTGTGTTTCTAGTTCCTTCTAAACTCTTTTCTTCTCTTCCACTTCCAGTAGCTCCCTGCATCTTAGTAGCCTTACTTGGGGTGAATTTATTTTTAAAAAAAGTTTTTTTTTTTTTTCAATCACTGCAAAAAGCTTCAATTGGGAAAACTTTCTTTAATGAAAACCAGATTGAAGAGTTTCTTAAAACCTTTTTCCTATCAGAAATTGAGAAATTTTACTCAAAAGCTATCAAAGAGTTGCCTAATAAATGGCAACAAGTGACTTCAAATAATAGTGAATATATAATAAAATAAGATTATTTTTTGAAGATTAAAATTGACAAACATAAACAGAAATTATTTGACTCAACCTAATATTTTGTAATCATTATTCTATATACTATTTTTATTAAGATACAGGTACATTTATCTTAAAACTGGTCTAGTTTTCTATTATACAAAAAGGGTTATATGAAAAATTATAGATATTTAAAGAAATGATAACAGAATTTAAAACATAAACTATCTTACTGCTATCAAATTTGATAATAAAAATCATAATAATTCAACAAAAATTGTCTTTTCATTATTTACAGATGCAAATGCAGCTTTAAAAGAATTCCTTCTTTCTCGAAATCCCAAACAGCAACACTCCTGTACCCTGGAGTCGTTCCTTATTAAACCAATTCAGCGCATCCTTAAGTACCCACTTCTCTTGCAACAGCTGTGTCAGTTGACTGATCCAGAAACAGACGAGCATTACCATCTCTCAGGTAAGTTTACAACATGATACAGTTTATTATACCACTTCAGTAAAAAAAACATTGAACATAGAATAGGCTATGCTAGAAGTAGTTTTACACAACACCACAAATTGATACAAAACTAAAACATTAATCTGAAAACTTGAGTCAGATCAAAACTTTCATATGGATGCTATACTTGGTTTGGTTAACGGTATATCTAGTCCATATGGGTAATTTAATGCCAAAATTTAATTTTCTTGCGAGCTTTGTTAATTTATTTTTTTTCAAAACTTTATTGCTGCTAATATTTTTACTATAAAAATTTATTTTTATATTTTCATAATATTTATCCCCAGTCTGGTGGTTCAGTATTTAACCCTAACAGGTGCTACCACCCCAGGTCAGGGTGGACCTGGGAACAAAAGTAATTAAAAGATGGTTCCATACTCCTCAAAACCTCCCTATCAGAGGTCTTGCTGCCAGGTGTAGTTTATCGTCATACCCAGGATGGCCATACTTGGTGAAAAACCTGTTCAGAATATCTAAATTGTCAGCTGTATACAACTACTTTCTAAGATCAATGGTTAAAAATGGTTTTAGGCAAGTGAAACCTGTGGGCCTCAGCAAAGACCATCCTTCTTTGAACCTAGTGGATTGGCACTAAAGAATCTCAAAGAACTGTACCAAATAACAGAAGCCACATCACTTGAGAACTTTCAACAGCAGTAGCAACTAAAATGTATATCACATGTAACTAGAAGAGAAAATAATGACCTAATCAAAATGTTGACATTCCACACTACTTCAAACAAAAGGTTAGGAAGGAAATCCTCATCAATACTGGAAAGAGCAATAACAGCTACTGGACTTGAGAGACCTATTATCCTGAGAAATTGTTTTAAGAGAAAGATTTTATAAATTTCAACGAAAAGTAGTACTGACTGTTTGGTCAATGAATGCCAAATGTTTCCTTATAGGGAAACAGCTAATATTACCATTACCATTTATTTTTAAACCTCTGATTAAAGCATGTCATTTCCTTTTCACAACTTTCTTTTAACCTATTACTAGCAGTATGGCCCGGCATTGCCCGTGCTTGATTCAAAAATCGTACAACTCATACAGCAATCGCTATCACTTGACTTAAAATATTTTTGCCCTTTCTTGCCTTTAAAGGAGTGTCCTTTGCCGTGCTGATGTTGCTACATGCCTTACTTCTTGCCTATCACACACTGCGAATTTTTTCTAAGCTCTATACTAAACATTAAATCTGTTACAAAAAAAGAACTAAACAAAATGAACACAAAACGATCAGCTTTAAAAAAAGACTCATAACTGGAAAAACCGAATAAAAAAAAATGTTAACAACAAATACTTTTTTTAAACTCAACCCAGTTCTGCGGAATCAGAATCAATGTTGAGTTTAAGCAAGCGAATGAGCCAATTGGAGTAAAGTGCCATGCAGATATCGATTTTTTTTGCATGATAGCATGCTAGTTAACATTCGTATCAGTCAGCTGTTGGCTCTCATGCTAGCCAATAGAATCTTCCTGCCTATTCATGACAGCCAGCTATTGGCTTTCACTCTGGCCAGTACAAAATGGCTGCAAACTACATGAAAACTGCTGTAGAAGCATGAAAAAAATTGATTATTTCCACTATCGATGGGAGTTGGGAAATACAAAGTTGGTCTTGGCCTTCCTGCTAACTTGGAGCATGTACATGTAAATTTTGGTGCAAATCCATCGAAAATTATGGCCGTGCATTCGTTACACACACACACACACACACACACACATCCTGCCTTTTATAGAGATGATTGCAATTTGTTGACCCTTTTTAATTACAAATTCACATTTCCCCATATCCTATTTTATGCAAATATATATTATCTTTATCTTGCACATGCAAGGTATTAACTGTTTAACTACCTTTTCAGCACACAAAATGGAATCAGTAAACTAAGTTCAAATTCTAGCTGAGGCTGCTTACATTCACATCATACTCATCCCTCCAGTAAAGGCATGAATCAATATCTCCCTGTGATCTGTCCCATCACCAGATATTTTAATCAAGCCCTTTTCACTGATAGGCCACAATGGATATCATTGATAAGATTAAGAAGTTCAATTTTCTGCTGAAAATTAGGCAATGTCTTTGTGCTGGAAGAAAGTGCAAAAGATGATCTGTGCTGTTTATTAATAGCTGTAAAAAGACAGTCAGAGTAGTTGCAAAGAAAAGCAGCTGAAAGTCAGATAAAAGAAACACTGGTTTAAAAATTAATGACATGCTTAGAATACATTCAGTAAAATAGAACAAAGAGGAATTAAAAGCCTAAAATCTATCAAGATAAAACAATGTTCTATGAATGTGATAATGAAATGTGTAAAAACAGAATGAAATAGATATTTGGTTCTTAGGAAGAAATTACTGAACAAAATCATTTAGTCTATCAGAAATTGTCTAATTTCTACTGTTATTACTTCAGTCATCAGGGCATACACATAATCTTACACTTTTGAGGGCTTTTGTTCTTTTGATAGTTTTTTTTTCATTTGTTTTAAAAATATATTTCCAGTGATATAACAAGTGAAGAGTTTAATTTGATGAATTATCAACAGTTTGAATAAAATGGTTATTCTTCATAAAATTACTAAGAAATGTTAAGGCCATGCTGAAACTTCACTTTATCCCCAATTACAAAAAATATATTAATTTAATCTATATATGTTTTTTGTTTCATACATCAGACAAGTTTGCCCAATTACAACCTGATGTAGTTTAGTTTGTAGAAAAACACTGCCATCATTGGAAACTATATATATAAGGAACAAATAGGAAATGATTATAAATTTAATAGGTTTTATTTAAGCTTCATCAGAAATTAAATATGGCAAAGAAAAGAAAATACTGTATTTTTGTGTTGCTTTTTTTTCATAGGTTAAGCAGACCACGTGTGCATTTTTCGTGTCAGGTAGCATTTATGGGACACACATGAAATATACACACAAGAACTGACAAGACAACTGTCGAGGACACATGGCATAGTGGATAAAGACGTTAGTTAGATCCAGTGACAGAACCAAAAGAGTGTGAGTTCAATACCTGGTTAAGGTGGTGGAGAACTTGGAGAGGGGAATTAACAAGAGATAACTGACATCCATTAGACATGGCACATGGAACTAAAACAGTCTACCTCAGTGAGCGAAATAAAGGATTCAGTTCAACATTCCAACCACCTGAAGAAGGCTGGAGCATACATATGGCGACAAAGATGAGGACAATAGTCTGAATAATGTAAATAGTGTACATAATACTACATCTCAGAAATATAGACAGATAAATTTATTTGTTCCTCATCTTACCATTCTCTTAGATTCTAAATATGTATATATACACACACACACACGTGTGTGTGTGTGTTTTGCACAGTAAATTGAAGCTTTTCTTATATCGAGATATATATATATATATATTCACAAGATTTAGGGATTAACATATTGACAATGAATTTTCATTTTTGTGATGCTACTAAAAACACACATCTTTTTTTAATATAGCACAGGATTTGTGAAATCTTAGAGAAAAGATCAGTAAATGAAAATAAATATACTGTTTAATAAACAGAACATCTACTTGAATATGTGTGTCTACTAAATATAACGTTTAAGTAATAAAAACCTATCAGATTAATAAATAAAAAAAAATTGTCCCTTTCTTTACAAACTGCTTGGTTCAATTTAGGTTATGAATTTGAGCAGATCTTTCTCTTAAAACAAGTCTTCAGGAAAATGAGGTTTTCAAGTCTAACAGCTATTATTGTTCTTTTGAAAATTGATGGTGTGGGGTTTTCTTCCTAACCTTTCATTTGAAGTAGTGTGGAATGTCAATATCTTCATGATGTCAATTTTCTTTTAGAGTTAGAAGTGATATTCATTTTAGGTGGGGGTGCTGAAAAGTTTTTGGCTTGAACCACTTTCCAAAATCAATTTTCTGATGTTTGGTCATTGAAATATCTGACATTGGAAAATTGGTCAGGACAAGAATTTTTCAGCACTGCTTTGTGTGTGTGTGTGTATATATATATATATATATAGTAATGATAGCTTGGCATTTTGAAGACAGAAGTGTTTAAACTTAGCAGTTATGGTAAAATCAGTATAAAACAAGAGGAAGAAAATAGAAGTAAAATTAATTTTATATAAAGGCTTTTTTCTTTATTATATATTCTACACATTAATGGTTATAAATTAAATTAAAAAAATAAAGAAAATTAAAGATCAATGATTATTCTTGAGAGGCCTATAATCAAATATGAAGTAAAACCAAAAAGTTAACAGATTTAAACTCCACTTAGCAAAATGTTACTGGATTAAAGGCTTTGATATTAACCTTTAGCACTTTGTAGGGTAAGTTCAATCACTGAACAAAGAGTTTATTCTGCCACTGCAGGCGATGCCAATCACCAAACAATAGCCACTGCAGGCACCTCCAATCACTGAACAATAGTGTGCTTGAATTTCACAGCTGTGTTTGTCATGTTCTATGGCAATCAAAAATGACCTTGACTGAAATTATCAATGGGATTACTGCAGTTGAGAGGCCTTGAAAAAGGATTCAGTAAAAGGAAAAATAATACTCTTGTGTTCCAAATGCAAGTACCAGCATGCTTAAATCGTTTCTTTCAATCCCCCCCCTCACACAAACACACAACACGTTTACTTGGAATGGCATGCTTATTTTCAAATAATTTTCTCTGCAACAGGAGTTATTTGTCGCAGAAATCAAAAATTCCTTCTGGGGGGGGGGAATTATATATATATATATATATATATATTCCAGATGGTATTTGTATTTGGTCCAAAAGTTTAATAGTGAATAATGCAGAGTGCTAATAGGTAAACAAAAGGATTAACTGCTCTGTGTACAGTCATCCATTTTGGCATACTTACTTAGAATCTAACTAATTACTGTATGCAGTGGGATTCATTTTTCCCCCTTTTAGAAGTCTCTGCTGCAGTTTTTTT